CAGCCTATTCCAGGACAGAAGGGAACAGATCTCTTTCTGTAGAATGTTCTTGGAAGCCCCACAGACGTCTGTGTTGCCCTTGTACCCAGAGGAGGTACATCCAACCATGACGGGAGTACTTCCTAAACTGGGAACGTACCCCCAATAGCTAATGAGTATTAGAATAGGGTGCCCAGGAACATGGTCATCTTGTTGCTGCTTTTTTCGTTCAGTTCTCATTGTGTGATTGCCAGCTCTTTGGGTGAGAGAGAAAGGGGCCAAGGCCCCCTTTGTGCCCACTTTAATGAAGTATTGTGAGAGGAGGAAGAAGTGGCTGTGGGAAAGAGGGTCAAAGTGGAGCTGGGAGGGAGCAGGGTTTCCAGATTTCACTGGTGTCCTGATGTTAGTCTTCTCTGAGTACAGTGAGCATACAGGGGGCCCAGCCGGGAGATGATACATGGCAGAGAGCCAGGCCAGAAAGCACACACCTGAATGCCAGCTATGTGCACTTTCCAGGGCTGCTTTACAGAGCACCACTCGCTGGGTGTTTTAATTGGTAAGAAATTCACTCGGCTCTGGAGGCTGGAGTTCACGCCCCTGAAGTTCTGGGGCGAGTCACCCCTTGTTCTTTCAGATTCAGGTGGTAACTGACTGGCTCTTTTTTTTGTGGATCTAGGACATATGTCTGCTTGTTCCCAGAGCCTGGTGTGGTTCCCTGGGATGTGTTTGGGGATCACTAGACTCATGCCACGTTGTTGCAGAAGTCGTTTTCTTGGCAGGTCATTTTTAATATCCTTAAGGAAATACGTTTGCTCTCCTGAGGTAGTCCACCTTCATGAGAAGATGTCAAATAGATGAGCCAGTAGATTCCCAGGGATCTAGAAATGCACTGAGAAGACCACTTTAGGGCAAAAGCCGAATGCTGGAGGATATCCCCCCCGGTTAAACATCGCAGGTGACCGGTGAGAGCAAATTCGAAACTAACAGCCTACGTCTGCCAACTGCTTGCGTGTCCCCTGGCTGCTCTGAACAGCCCAGTATTTCATGAGCAAAGCTAGGGAAGGTTCTAGAAGCTCTTTGATCAAAAGTGACCATGTCAGATCCCTCCTACCCGACGGCATTTCTTTCCCAAGAGCACGGACACAAAGCCACGTGAGCAGACCGCCTAGCTGGTGTCATTCCAGCTGCAGGCGCTTGTGCTGCCTCGAAGTTTTGGAAAGCCATGTGGGCGGCAGCCCTCTGGAGCTTTTTTCTTTTGTGGGTGACCTTCACCCCCTGCAGATGTTTTGTGGAACTGTGACCTTTTGTTCCTTAAAAAGACGCATCTCCCCAGAGTTAATTCCTCTTTTGAAGTCATAATCTTTTATGGAATCCTTCCTGGCCATCTTGATTTCCAGGAAAGTGTTATGCATCCCAGATGGGAAAAAATATGTAGGCTTCACAGGCACCACATGGGACAGGACAGAAGGTGCTGGTGTCAGTGACAGGAGAGTGGTCAGTCTCTGAAGCCCATCGGAAATGGAGTTTGGTTGTTGCACATCAACACCAAACAACCACATCTGATTTAATGCTTTCACCAACAAATAACAAGCACTCAAAGGAAGCAAACATTATAGAAGGCAACTCTCCATCATGGTGGACATTCCCTCAAGTGCTGAGCAAAGCCCCAACTCCCATGGATCCTCCAGGTTCTAACTGTGGCGGTGGGCCACATGCTCCCCTCCGTTAGAAGCATGCTGGCCATACTCACAGCATAGGAAGCGAGAAGCCAACACTCACCACTTGTTGGTTCTTGCCTGCTCTGGCTAAGGCCTGTGGGACCTTTCGGGTGCCAGAACTCCGTCAGGAAACGCATTTTTTTCCCCCTGGGAGCCCTGTTGGTGAGCTGCTTTGTGGATCTCTGCCACCTCCTACTCCAACACCTGCAGAGTGGGAGGCAGAAGGTTGGTTGCACCAAGGAGTGGCAGGAAGAGCTCCTCCTCGCTTCCCCCTCCCATTGCTGATGACTGGCCAGCCCGAGGAGAACCATCCTAGCAGAATGGTTGGGAAGCTGTGTGTGTTTATGGTTGCTAAACTTAGCCTGCGCAGTAGAGGAGCATGTTTTTGTGAATGAGATCCGAGACCCCATGGTAAGGACCACCCAGCACGAGCACTCACCCCAGAGAACAATGCAGCCTATTTACCGACCGGCGCCTTGTGGTCGAAATGCTGGAAGAAGACTTGAATTGCACTTGGCATTGATAGTCACTCATTTTTTTTTTCATTCTATTAAAAATGTCCAAACAAATTTGGTGTGTGGGAAGGAAGTACGCATTAGCACCGAGGAATAAGGAAAAGGCAGTAACACCAAGTCAGTCTAATTCATTCCACACCCTCCTTCCTGGGCACTGCTGAGAGCTCCCACATCAAGCCATGCCAGCAGTGAGCGCATTTCTTGCTGGCTGGATGGTGAAGACAGGGCTGGAGAGTCAAGAACCTCACTCCTTCATCTGGAAAGTTGGAGGCCCAGGCTGAGCAGAGCCCAGCCTCTGTATGGTGCCTACAGTGGCTCCTATGTTCTGAACTCCTCTGGGTGACCCACAGGCCAATCTGGAAAGCCATTCTGGAACACTTAGATACTAAGTAAGTAAGCAAGTAAGCAAGGAGCACTCATCCGATAGGAAGAGCCCAAGTTCAGATCCCTGGTCTGCCACCTGCTGGTACATCACCACTGCCATGTCTCTTATTGGCTTATGCTAAAGCATTTAGAATCAAACATATTATCAATACATATGTCAACCATTATTATGCCAGCTTGATCTACACAGGCATCGGCATGTCGGGATCTTTGTTGCTGGGTTCCATGCATGAGAGCCCAAGGAAGTTGGCTGGTGTCTGCAGATACGCTCATGATTTCTGTGACCCTTGGACTGGCCTTTGGAGCCTTGATAGCCCTTTCAGGATGTGACATTTGTGTTCTCAGTGCAGTGAGCAGGGTGGGGGGCCTGTGGTATCTGAGGAGCAGCCTCTCCCTTCAGTGACACAGTTCTGTGCATCATGTCATCCTAGATAGACCACACATCTTAGTAACCTGGATGTTTAGCACCAAGTCTTGAGAGGTTCTAAACCCAAGTACTACACTGCTCAAAGGTAACCCAGGAAGCTGGCCTGCAGAGAAGATAATTGCTGTTCATTGGGTGCATTCTATAGGCAAGATTCCAAGGATTCTCCCAGGAAGGACTAATATTACTCTAATATTCCAAAAAGATTAAAGTTACTAAACTACTCAGGAGGCTGAGATCTGGGGATCTCAGTTTGAAGCCAAGGTAAGCAGGAAAGTCCATGAGACTCTTATCTCCAACTAACCATCAAAAAGCTAGAAGTATAGGTGTGGTTCGAGTGGTAGAGTGTCAGTCTTGAATGCAAAGTGAAGGCACAGGAACCAGGCCCCTGAGTTCAAGTTGCAGTATCAGCACACACCTACACAATAAAGATACCAACTTTATCCTGTTTTTTGTTTTGTTTTGTTTTGTTTTTCAGGGGATGGGGAGAGTTGTTTGTGTTTTAGACAAGGATACAGGCTCAGCAGAGTTGTTAAGCTACCTAAGGTCAAACCAAGATTACAGATCTGGTATTAGGAGCATGGCCTTAGTTGGTCCTGTTCGCTTCTTCAGATAGGAACCACTAGGGGGTAATTGCAACCCTGACCTCCCTTTGCTGGGTACTCTATGCTACTGTGCAACCACTGCATTTCAGTGACCTCTCACTGGCATTCACGGAGGAGCCTCAGTGTGCTAAACCCTTGGACTTGTCCCTCAAAACAAAAGGCAGGCAAATGGTTAGCAGCACTGACCGCACCGATGCCACTACATGATTGTAGAGGGAGCACAGGAGAGATAGGGATAGAAATGATCACTAGAGGGGTTACCCTTCTTTGAAGAGTCAGTAGGAGTTCACCAAAAGTTCCAGAGTAGGATATTACAGGTGAAGGAATAGCATGCAAAGGACACGGGTATAAAACAGGAGGATTTTCCTTTCTAAAGGTTGGTTACTCCAAGTACTTTAGCACAGGTACATGATATAGTGCAGGGGATATACCATGCTGCTGAGACTACTGAATGAGCCAGGAACCAAAGGAAGGGAACATTACAAACCTTGTGCACTTGGTAGTGTTTTTCCCATTTTTATTATTATGATACTGAAGGAAACAATTGTGAAAGTAAAGAAGCTTGATATATGATATGTATTGACTTTGTGCTAAAAAGGCTGGGGTTTTTGGGGTGGTTTTTTAATCTCTTCACTTAATTTCTCCATTATTTTTTTCATTAGCAATTCCCTTTGGCAAAAGTTATTCTCCGAGGCGAGGATAAGTACTTTTGAGAGTTTTTGTTTTTTGTTTGTAATACTTTTTTTTTCCAAGTGGCTTTTGATTGCATAAGAACATCATGTAGAACCGTTTCCAGTAGATTCGTTATAGCAGGAATGGAGGCTAAGACTGATTATGTAATTGTTCCCTTCATCTATTCTCAGAACCTAACATATTGCCAGCATATTAAAACAACAACAACAACAAAAAACCCACTAATGATTGTAAAGGCATCTGAGTGTCTTTCAGGGTTTCTGGCACTCCTGCTCTTGTATTGTACACTGCAGAACAGAACTCACTAGTTTTAAGTGTGACAGGACTGTGCACTCAGCTGGAGACTGGGTGCTCTCTGCTCTGTCTTGTATGGGCAGCCCACCACTAGCTCCCTTGAAGGAGTGAAGTCACTGATCCACTGGCAGCACAGGTGGTGTTATTTGGGTGTGGGGAGGCCATACTTCTGCTGGGCTGTGGCTGCCTTTTGCAGAGGAGGGCAGAATACCATCTGTTGGAGGAGGAGGCAGGAGTATGCAAACGCTGTTGTGAATTCCCTGAATGGTTAATTGCTGTAGAAGTTTTGTTGTTGGTTTTTTTTTTTTTTTCAATTTAAGTCTTTACATTTAGTTTGTTGTTTTTTTGTTTTTGTTTGTTGTTTTTTGTTTTGTTTTTCACTTTTTAGAATAGTCCTTATCAGTGGCAGAAGATCCTTCTGTAGTATATTTTCCGTGCTGCCATATCGAGACTGTACCCAAGCCGGGTATGTATATGCATGCATGCTTTTATTTTTTCCTGGGTGAAAAGTTGAGATGTCAATGTGCATAATGTGGCGTTCCTTTCTGTGTTCATGAACTTCCTCTCTTTGATGGTACAAATTCAGTATTTGTGAATTTGCTTTAAAGAAAATGGAACCATTTTCTTTTCAGCCAAAAAGCTTCTGTATGTGTGTGTGTGTGTGTGTGTGTGTGTGTGTGTGTGTGTGTGTGTGTGTGTGTGTGTCTGTTCACGTGTGTCCTCACCTGACTGTGTGTTTTGTCACCTTGTCCAACACTGTAAAGCAAGAGCAATATGGGGCCTACCATATTGCACAAGGTCACACTGGCCTTTGGACAAAAAGGTAGGTTAGAGAATCAGCCTAAACCCTGTGACTGTCCTACCTCTTCAGTCTTGGGCTGGAATTTGGAAACTGACCAGCTGCCACCCCTGGGCAAACATCACAGCCAAGTGACACCTGACTTAATTTCCTCTGTGTTTCATAAGCCCCTCTAGAAGAAAGGGAGTAATGGAAGCATTGTTACTATGCAGTCTTGACTCCTCGCCATCCCTGTGGCCTGCATTCATTCCTCCCATGTCTAGACTCTTGCCCCATCCCCATTCAGTGGCTGTCACTTCCAGTATGTAGGACAGGGCAGTTCAGTCCAGAGGATATCTGGAATATTTTAGGGTATTGGCTCTAGCCAGCTGCCTTGTGGTCATCATGATCAACCAACACTACAACCCACAACCCTTGAGGAGGGCAGTGTGACCTCTGATGCTGAATTATCATTTATCTATCTTGTTCCATCTCCATGGGCTCTGCCCAGGCCTTCCTTCCCACCATGGTCTTTCTCTCTCCTGTAGTCTGTCATATTTCTGGTCTGTTCACCTCACTTGCTCCTTACCAGGACTCTGCATTATAAGGCCCATAGTACAGACTGTCTCTCTTCCTTTATGGAGGGCTGAGGTGTGCCTTACAGAGCATTACTAGCCATACCATGTATCAAATGTGCACTTTTTATTATCTGCAACCTGAGAACCACCTTGCAAAGTAAGTGTTCTAGAAAAAGTAAGAGCAAATCTTGAAGCTCAGGAATTAAGGACCAGCTTTTGGGGTGGCAATTGAGTTGGCCTGAAGGACATAGGCTGACTGCATCTGAAGAGACAGCCCGTTTCCTGAAGAACCCAGTTTGCAACAGTTTATCAACCCAATGTGTGACCCCCAGAGAGCCAGACTAAGTGCAGATGGCAGCCCCAGGTCCTAGAATATCTGAGTGTGAACAGCTTGGACGTATGCCTTCAGAGAGATGGGCAGCATCTACAGATACCCTATATCAGCCAGGGCTTGAGACTCTGGGCTTCCTTGCTGCCATCTCTGACAGCGTCATTCTTTGCTTTGAGCTTAATTATTTAATCATGTATTGAGTGTTTACCCTGTGACCAAGTGCCAGGGACACACATGGGGACTGAGGGATGGGTTCCTGTCCTCCCAAACTTACCACCTAGTAGGGGAGACACACAAAATTACACACAGGATTACTTATAACTTTTAGTAGATGCTAAAGATATCCTAGCAGGTAACTGCCAAATCCTCCTGATTGCTTCTTTAAGACAGTTTGGCTTCCCTATGCTTGAAGTGTTTATGTTGGGTTTATTCTCATATTCCTAGGACTCCCCTCACTGTGGTACCAAGTGCTTTATCCTTATTTGTAGATAAGATCTTTAAAGCCAGGAGCTAGTGACTCACGCCTGTAATCCTGGATATTTGGGAGACTGAAAACAGGAAGATTGTGACTTAAGGCCAACTGATAGAAGGGTTTATGAGGCTTGGAATAGTGCTTGTCATCCAAAGTCACATCAGAGGCTGCAATTAGAAGAATCATGGTAGGCCACCTTGAGCAGCCAAGTCCATGAAACTTCATGTTCCTTCTTTAAGTGGTTCCATGTACTCAAACCTCCTTCACATGGAAGCCTCTACCAAGATGGCCTGTTCTTCCAAGATGGCAGCTTCCAGAACCCCTCCACCTCCCACATCTTGGCTGGCCCTGACTCACCTTCCACTGTGGCCTCAAAACTTGGCTCTTGGTTTTTAACCTGAAATGAGCACTGATTCTGGCTCCTGACATCCGTTGACCAAAGCAGATCTTAGGAGTGGTTTCTCCACTTACGTATGTATCATCGTGTATGTCCCAGTGAATGTGGGAATGCTGGTAGGTGCCAGGGAGGCAGGGGTGAGTTTCCAATTCAGGGCAACTGGAGAGCCCCAAAGCAGCACTGGAAAAGATAAGACCATCCTTGTAGTTGCTTTCCAAGTGAAAGAGGTTTGAGTACATTTAGACTGGGGATATAAAATCCCATTACCCCCTGCCCCCTCCACGTCCTACCCTGACACGCTGCTGACATACACCACTGCCTCATGGGATTCAGGATTCGTGCATGCCGTGGAACCAGTAAGCACCTACTGTGTGTCAGGCACTGTTCAAGGCAGTAGATACAAAGTAAACATGAAGATATTGCTTCCTCATGGAGACAAGAGAGAAATAAACTAGACACAAGCAGAACAGTTTGCAATTAAGTAGCCTTACACCATGCCCTTGCATGGCTGAGCCCAGAGGAGGAGGTATGTGCTTCAGGAGGAGAATGGGGAGACTTCCCACAGGAGGTGGCTCTGCCACTACCCTTAGAGATGAGGGGGAAGGATATCCCAGACTTTGTGTGGACTTGCAAGGATGTCAGGGGATGATCTCACTTCTAGTGACCTCCTGGGGGCATGGCTGACCTTGCCTGCTCTGTTGAGAGAGTTCAATAAAGCCCCATTCAAGCTAGAATCCTGTTGCAACAGTGCCATGTCCAGCCTTGTGTCAATGAGAGAGAGAGAGAGACAAATACAGATGGAAGTGGGCTCTGGGAAGAGACTGCCACGGGCGCACCGGTCAGCGCTCAGTCCCAGCTCCCTCGTCTGTAGTGGGGATGTGTGGCTCCTGAAGAAGATGGTTGTCCATACTGCTCATGTGGAAGTGGTAAGTCCTGCTGAATGAGGAATGTATGAAGGGGATGTGCTCCTCACACTCCCATCAGTGACTGCATATGTCGTCATCCAGCCTTCTAAATTTTGATGTTTGTCAGAATGCTCAGATCTGCTGAACATTGCAGTTCTAGTTGGTGCCTTGTTTTCTGCTGGACCTCAGGATAGAAGCCTCATTGGCCTGGGCTGGAGAACTGTGTAAAATGCAAGTTACCAGGCACAAAGCTGAAGGTCAAGGTGGTTCCCAGGATCCCAAGTTCAGACTCTGTGTCCCTGCCTTGATTGAGGGGGAAAGCTATCTGAGAGACAAGTATGTTTACTTAGGACTCACTGAGGGTATAGTCAGGCATTGGTGTGAACGTGCCAAACAGAGGTATCAAAGCTAACACCGGAATATTACTTAGTGTGCTAGGCCCTGTACCAAATGCCTTCCATCTGTTTGCTCATTTCTTATAAGAATCTGTATAACCTGGACACCAGTGGCTCACACCTGTAATCCTAGCTACTCAGGAGGCTGAGATCTGAGGACTGCAGTTCAAAGCCAGCCCAGGCAGGAAAGTCCATGAGACTCTATCTCCAATTAACCAACAGAAAGCCAGACGTGGTACTGAGGCTTAAGTGGTAGAGCACTTGCCTTGAGCTGAGAGACAGCACCCAGGCCTAGAGTTCAAGCCCCACAACCAACAAAAAAGAATCTAAGTAGAATACTTAGGTTATCAGTAGTTAACTTGAAGAGGCTAGACGGGAGCAGAGCTCAGCCACCTCCCCAGGTGGTGGAGACCAGCGTGGGAGATTGGATAGTCAGTTCACAGAGGCAGCTCTGTCTACTGATATACACAGTTTGAAAATTGTTTTCCCCTTCAGAGTTGGGCCTGCTTAAGGACCATCAGTGTGCAGCCAGTGCTAACTGCTGTTCCTCTCTGGGTGATGGTGGAGTCCAATGGTCAGGACCAGCTTGGTTCTTATAGGAAGGCATACCACATGGAGGTCACCTCCTGAGGATGCTGGTGGCTGAGTTTCAAAAAGTTTCAGAGATTACTGGTTTACCCTGTGGCACTGGATCATCCAATCTCAAATTCCAAGCGTCTCTGGATAGAATCAGCTTTTTAGTTCCTTTTTACAGTGCTGAGGATTGAACTAAGCTAAGCCACTGTTCTACCACTGAGCTACACTGCCACTCCTATTTATTTTCTTTTTACTTTGAGTCTTGCCTAAGTTACCTAGTTGAGATTAGAAGCATGTACCACCACAACCAGACTGGGTAGAGTCTTGTGTAAAAAATTGCCTTGTTAATTCCTCCATTTGAATTGTTATCATGAGACACTGAAGTGTGTGGTAATGGGGTAGCATCTATTTGATACAGACCTGCTGAGGTACCTTACTGACATGACAATAAAGTGCCACCCACTGGACCTCCCTAGTACCTTTCCCTTTGTACCCAGGCTGCCCCACCACCCAGAAAGGAATTTAGGAACAATAGAAGCCTTTCCCAGGTCTAGATGCAGTGCATGGGAACAATAGCAGCACCCAACAGTTCATGAGAAGATCAGTCACATTGCCGGATGTATCTTCTTCAACAATGGCAAGTAACCCGGCTCCTGAAACACAGAACAATTTTTTTTTAATTTCTGTTTTACTTTCTTTTTGGGGGGTGGTATTTATTTTGCTGTTATTGTTGGGTCTGTTTTTGTTTTGTCTCATTCACAGTACAAACAAGGCAGAGAGCCTGTGCTGAGCTATTTATAGGGGTAGGTTTACTCTGCCTTCTGTTCCTGTACAGTGTAGAAGTACTAGGGTTTGAACTCAGAGCCTTGCACTTGAGAGTCAGGTTCTCTACTGCTGAGGCAGACCTCCAGACCTATTTTTTGCTGGTGGTGTTTAAAGATAGACTCTCACTTCCTGCTGGGATGCATAGATAAAACAAAATCTGCCTCTTGTAGACCTCTCACTGTTGTTGGTACAGGAGCACACCATTGCAT